GTTGGTTGAATGACTGAATGATCAAGCCATATGATCACTTCACACTGCCTACAGGCAAGAATCTGAACTTCCTGGCTTCCTCTCCAAGGCCCTTTGCAAAATGGCCCGAACTTTTCCATCCTCATCTTGAACCATTACTGCCCTGCCCTATCCCATCCCCTGGTCACACCATCACTTTTTATACTTTGATGCTTTTGTCTCTGGTGGTTCCTCTGCTTGAAATGCTCTCTCTGCATGGCACCTATCCTCTGTCTTCCATTTACATGGTGACTGCCTTCAAAGCCCAGCTCATCTGTAACCTGTCTCTCTGTAGCTTTCCCTGATAACCTGCTTTCTACCCCCAGCTCCCTCTGATCTGCCCCCCCCCTCCCCTAGCAGTCAGAATTAATTTTTTCTCATCTGGTTCTAATGACATTTCACTCATACCTTCATTATGACACACATCGCTTTGTATTACGTTTGTTCATATCTGTAACTATTTTGCAACATTGTGAGCTGCTAATGGGCAGGGACTGGGTCTTGAATTCTTGTTCACTGTAGTATTTCCAGCATCTAGCCCAGCACCTGAGCACTGACAAACAGTCAGGATATGCTTGTGTTGGTGTCATGTGTGTTCTTATTTATTTTATTTAAATATAATATTTTTTAGTTTGAAAAAATACCTGCATGAAAAACCACCTTCCTTGATATCACCCTGAGGCAAACCACCATCATTTCTTACCTGAATTATTACAGAGCTTCCTAACTCATCTTCCTGCTTCTACTCTAAGCACCCCCATCTGTTATCAACACAGAAGCCAAGGTGATCCTGCTAAAATGTACATCAAATCAAAGTCCTTTGGTGACTTCCCACCTCACATGGGATACAATCCAAAGTCATTACCCAACAAGGCCCTGCCTGATCAGCCAACCTTAACTCACTTATCCTGTCTGTAGTGGTTAAGAGTGCAAATTTTGGAGCCACACTATCTGGATTCAAATCCTGCCTCTACTATTTGCCAGCTGTGTGACCTAGGGCAAGTGACTTAACCTCTCTGTGCCTCTGTTTCCTTGCCTGCCAAATGGAGATAATACTATTTACCTCATAGGGTTGTTGCAAGAGGTAAATGAGTTAATGTATGTAAAGTAGCTAGAACAGTGTCTGGTACATGGTAGGTACTAAATAAGATTTTGTTAAATAAACAAAAATCTATCATTCTTCCCCTTGCCCACTCCTCTCCAGCGACATTGGCTTCCTTGCTTAAACACACTGTCTCAGGACATTTCCACTTACTGTTCCCTCTGCCTGGAACACTCTCCCAGATATCCACATGGCTTGCTCTCCATCTTCTTGCAGGTCTCTGCCTCTGTATCACTTTATCAGGGGGGGCTTCTTTGATCACCCTTTGTAAAATAGCAACATCCCATCATTCTGTCCCCTTAGCCTGCTTCATTTTTCCTTCACAGCACTTAACAACATTGGATGTATAGTTACATGTTTATTTTCCTTCTTCCCCAACAAGAATGTAAGCTCCATGATGACAGGAACTTTGCTTGCCTCGTTCACTATTATAATCCCAGCACCTAGGGAGAACTGGATATCAATATGCAGGAGAATGAAACTAGACCCATATCTTTCACCATACACTAAAGTCAACTCAAAATGGATTAAAGAATTAAATATACACCCTGAAACAATAAAACTTCTTAAAGAAAACATAGGAGAAACACTTCAGGAAATAGGACTGGACACAGACTTCATGAATACGACCCCAAAAGCACGGGCAACCAAAGGAAAAATAAACAAATGGGATTATATCAAACTAAAGAGCTTCTGCACAGCAAAAGAAACAATTAACAGAGTTAAAAGACAACCAAAAGAGTGGGAGAAAATATTTGCAAAATATACATCTGACAAAGGATTAATATCCAGAATATACAAGGAACTAAAACAACTTTACAAGAAAAAAACAAGCAACCCAATTAAAAAATCGGCAAAAGAGCTAAGTAGACATTTCTCTAAGGAAGATATACAAATGGCCAACAAACATATGAAAAAATGCTCAATATCACTCAGCATCCGGGAAATGCAAATCAAAACTACACTGAGATACCATCTCACCCCAATTAGGATGGCTAAAATCCAAAAGACGCTGAAAGATAAATGCTGGCGTGGTTGCGGAGAAAAAGGAACTCTCATACATTGTTGGTGGGACTGCAAAACGGTGCAGCCTCTATGGAAAATGGTATGGAGATTCCTCAAACAGTTGCAGATAGATCTACCATAGGACCCAGCTATCCCACTGCTGGGAATATATCCAAAGGAATGGAAATCATCAAGTCGAAGGTATACCTGTACCCCAATGTTCATTGCAGCACTCTTCACAATAGCCAAGAGCTGGAATCAACCCAAATGTCCATCATCGGATGAGTGGATACAGAAAATGTGGTATATCTACACAATGGAATACTACTCAGCTATAAAAACAAATGAAATACTGCCATTTGCAACAACATGGATGGACCTTGAAAGAATAATACTGAGTGAAACGAGTCAGGCAGAGAAAAAGAAATACCACATGTTCTCACTTATTGGTGGGAGCTAAAAAAAAATAAAAACAAAAAACAAATCAATTCACTCACATACACACACACACACACACACACACAAAAAAAACAAAAAAATAAATTCACACAGACACACACACACAAAAAAAAAACTGGGCGGGGAAGAATACATAACAACTACAATTCCTTGAAATTGACACGGCAAGCAAACAGAAAGGACATTGTTGGATGGGAGGGGGGAGAGGGAGGAGGGAGGGAGGTTTTGGTAATGGGCCACAATAATCAACCACATTGTATATTGACAAAATAAAATTAAAAAAATAAATAAATAAAATAAAGACCAAAAAAAAAAAATAATAATTAAAAAAAAAATAACCCCAGCACCTAGAACACTGTTTGTCACTCAATAGCTACTCAAGAAATATTTGTTGAATGAATGAATAAAAGACAATAGCAAGAAAATAAAGGTCATAAACTGCCAAGATAACATTACAATAAAAAATATAAGGGATATCCAGATAAAGGTAAGAAAACTCTAGCAGTATAAAAAGGAACAAAGGGAAAATAAAGCTCCCTCTCCTCCTACCCTCATCTGTTTCCCTAAAGGTAACCATAGTTGAGTGTATTTTCAACTTCATTAACCAGTAAGTATATTAGGTGCATTTTATGTGTTCAGAAAAGTGTTTGAGGTCCTGAGGGGCTTATAAATGCAGAGCCTTTATCTTCCAGGATCTCACAGTCTTTCTGGGAGGCGAACATAAAGTTTTGTAGTGCTATAGAGTTCAGAAGTGGGGACCACCCCTGTGGGCTGGTGAGATCAGGAAAGATTTCCTGCACGAGATATGACTGGATGGGGGTTTGAAGCTTGGACAGGTTTCAGAAAGAGAGGGAAGGATAGCCTAGGGATATGGGGCTCACTCAGCAGAAGTACTTAGGTTGGGTAATGAAAGGGGCCCTTGAGGGAATAGATAGAAATGGAGCCTTGCTGAAGCTGAGGCTTTGTGTGGGGGAGCAGTGGGAGAAAAGAACTGAGAATAGGGGCTGGGATAGAAGAATACTGAAAGAGCTAGGAGGTATGTGATGTCTTGAAATAGGACTGTGACTGGAAGAGATGCGTTTTATAGACACTGTAGTAGTACAATTATTAGGACTTGGTGATTGGATAGATATCTTGGGGTGAAAAATAGGGAGGGCTGAAATATGACAACCATGTTTTTTTAGTCTGGGCAACCAGGAAAATGGTGATAACATTGCCCAAAATAGGAAAGCCAGAAGGGAAAACTATTTTGTTGTGTGGTGTGGGGGCAGGAAGTGGAGAGATGACTCTGACTAGATAAATTGTTCAATCTTTCCTTTAATGTGAGACAGCCTTTGACTTCCTTAGCATTGCCCACAGAAGCTAGAACTAAATGAAAATTATTAGTGGTCTCCACCTTGGAGGGCAAACCCTGGTCCTCCTTTCAGATGTTAAGTTCAGAAGGTCCTCTGGATCCCCATCTCTTTTCGAATTATAGATATCTCTAGGAATCATTTTACCTACCAATTGCGAGCACATCCATGGAGAATCTGACTTCTTTATTTACATCAGGCTCTCCTAGGGTGATCAGTTGTCCAAGTTTGCTCTGGGCTTACCAATTTTAGCACCGATAGTCGGGAGTCCCAGGAAATCCCTCAGTTCCAGGCAAACTGGGACGGTTTTCAGCTCCTCTAGCTTCAAAATACCCCTGCTGAACACACCAGCTGTATAATAATAGTCTTCTCATATTCTCAGTCTAAATTGTTCTTCCCTTTGGTTGGTTTTACTCTCCTCTTTTAACTGAACGCTGATGACTGAGCCCCAGGTGTAGCCCCAACTCTCATTTCACAGTCACCTGAAGAAGCCAGCAAGATAGTGCCACATGCTTTTACCACTTTGCAGAGGCTTCTTCAACCCTACAGCTAAGCAACCTGACTTTCCTAGGAGCAGATAAAACCCATATGCAATCTGTCACTGGTTAATTTTCATTGTCAAGATAATTCTACAAAGTTAATGAATAGCTGGGTTGGAGTGGGGGAGAAAAAATGATTGAGAAATTGTCATTGGTGGGCAGCCTCTGTTCAGCTTTTTGGCAGGACGTCGGTTACTAAAGTTGCCACATCAGGCACCTCGTTGGGTCTTCATTCAGCAAACATTCATAGCTAACAAAATAAGTACCAGGCATTGTCCACGAGCCGGGGGACCAGGCGTGTACCCTTGCCCCATTTCACAGATGGAAGAAGCGAGACACCAGAGAACTGTTTCTAGAGGAGGTAATTCCACGTAGCGTGGGAAGTCGCTAGTACGCACTCGCCATGGCCCGGCGCGGCCGAACTTTGCCGGAGCGAGCTCTGTCCACTCCTTGGGCGCGCGGCTCCGCGATCGAGCATGCGCCGCGGTTCGCGCATGCGCCGCGCAGCCTCGCCCGGAAGTTGTTGCCGCAGTTCTGAGCGCTATTCCCCGAAGATGAAGTAAGAATTCAGACTCCTTAGGAAGGGGGAGGGGGCTGCCGGGGGTGGCCCACCAGCGCTAGGGTGGTGGAACGTCTGTGGGGCCGAGGGACGGGAGAGGCGCGGAGACTAGGACGTCTAGTCCCCTAGTTTTGTTTTCCCTTGGCTCAAGTCAGGTGGCATTTACTTGTCCGCTTTTCCGCCCCTCTGTGCAGCCCTTTAACTAAGGTGAAGCTGATCAACGAACTGAATGACAGAGAGGTCCAGCTTGGGGTGGCGGATAAGTTGTCCTGGCACTCCGAGTACAAGGATAGCGCCTGGATCTTCCTGGGTGAGGTTCACATCTTTCTCTCGCAGTGCTGCCCAGATTCTCTCCTGGCCTGCTTCCGCCCATTGCAGCATTCCCGCCCCTCATTCCTCCCCGTGTTCATCATCCACTTTTACGTCCATCTCCTGTCTGCCCACGAATGGTTTTCTATATCTCATTTCTCCCCCATTTTTAGTTTGTTCTCTCTGCCGTATCAGTGCTTATGAGAGTTACTGTTTGCCATTCGCCGTGCTAAGAGGCTCGCCATTCCGTTTCTCAGAGACCCTTGTTATCTCTCACACGCACCCATTCATAATACAGCTGAGTAAACTGAGGCGCAGAGGAGTTAACGGACTTCCTTAAGGTCACATAGCTAGTGAGGGCAACAGCCAGAACTATGAGATTCTAGCACTTACTATCCCATATTACTACTAACTGCTCTCCTCCATTCCCTTTCCCTCAGAATTCATTTTCCTCTAATTAGCTCCTGCTTCTGCCCATGGCGATATTACCCTCCCTATATTCACTTTGTGTTACACCAGTAATTCTACAGTTGGACTGTTTGAGGAGGTTATTTCACTAGACATTGTACTAAGCACTTTATGTGCGTTGTTTCATTTAATTCTTACAGCAATCCCGTGATGTAAGTACTAATATCCCCATCTTACAGATTAAGGAAAGAAACGTTTGGAGGGAAATTATTTCCTATGATCTGCTTGACAGTTGTCTTCATAATCCTTACTCTATGTGTAAATAGGGCTAATAATGATATACTTAAATTGATTTTGGATCTTAGCCATAAATTTGTGAGCAGATGAATTCAAGATATGCTTTGCAAGAGTTTTGTGATGGAAACTATCTACTTTGTTTCTAGGATTTTGGCTGTGAGGAGGACTGAATGATTAGTTTGGTTTGTGGTGACCCCCACCTTTCCACTCAAAGTTAATCACTCCTTTTTCTTTATTACTGACACCTTATATGTATCAGACTGTGTTTTCTTTGACGCAGGGCCTGTGGCTTACTCTTCACGCCCCCAGTGCCTGGCCTGGTGCATGGTACATAGCAGACACTTGGTGAAGGTTTGTTGAACTGCAATGTGGTTTTCTCTTCTAGGAGGGCTTCCTTATGAACTAACTGAAGGGGACATCATCTGTGTGTTCTCGCAGTAAGTCTCCTTTTATTTTCTGTCTCCTGGGTCAACAGAGTAATGCATTTTATGGCATCACAGAAGCCACTTATTTTAATTTTAGGCTTAATGGCATCCCTGCATGGGGAGGGCTGGAACTTCTAGTCTACATCAGTCCCAGGACATGGTTCTAAAATGGTCCCATGTGGAAGATCCCCAGAAGTTGGGTAATTTGGGAGTCTGTCCTAGGGATTCTGGTCTAAATATTTCTATTGCTTTTTCACTGAGGCTTGTTCAGCCTGGGCCTACACTAGAACAGACTGGAACTCCCAGGAAGGCACCATGTTGGCAGACTTCCTTGGTCTCCTGCAGACTAGGGCCCCCATAGAGCCCTAACCCATGTGGCGTTGTGGGATTACGGGTAAAAACAGAAAGTTTAGGTGGTAGTTTGCTTGCTTTGTTTCTCGATGAGTGTAAGGTTAGTGAGCAGAGCCAATCTCCTTACTCAGAGGCTGAAAATCACAGGCTGAAGAGGAACGAGAACGCGTAGGAGACTTGGATATTCTTCATTCTGCTGTGAGACAATAGTCACAGCACCTGGTGGGAGAGGGTGTTGATGGCTCACACTGATAGTAGCACCTGGTAGGAGAGAAGCTGGGTGCTGACACACAACCCTAGAGCTAAGCAGAGTGGTTAGACAGTCCAAAGGGCCAGACGGCCACTGCCTTTGGGTTTTGTAGCCCTCAGGGGCAGAGGACTGTTTCAGAGAAGTTGGGCAGCATGTACAGAAGAGGACCACGGCAAAAGGGAGGGATTGCCATGGCAGGATGGTTGGGCCATCCCATAGGCAGAGGGCCCTGGCTAAGTGGTTGGGCAATTTATAGGGCAGCGGTCATGGGAAAGGAGTTGGGCAGTACATGTGAGAAAAAGGCCATGGTAGAAAAAGGGCCTGGGGGGCCGAGCCCGTGGCACACTCAGGAGGGTGCGGCGCGGGCAGCGCTCCCGCCACTGGTTCGGATCCTATATAGGGATGACCGGTGCGCTCACAGCGCTCACTGGCTGAGCGCGGTGCGGCCGGTCTCAAAAGGAAAAAAAAAAAAAAAAAAGAAAAAGGGCTTGGGAAGCCCACACGGGCAGAGTATCCTGGCAGGGACAAAGGCTGCGTCCTCCAACTTCCAGGCATCAGGAAGTTCACAGCAGGTGCAGCCTAAAATTTCCAGCCCTTGATGGTACCTCTACCTGATCCAGCCTTCCATCTTGGAGCTGTTTTTGTTTGACTTGCATTGAGTGTTGATCAGCTAGTTGTGTGTGTGTTTATTCTAATTCTCTATTCTGGCTACACACATTGCTCTCCATTAAGATTGTCTTTGCTGCTGATAACAATGACTTTTTAAAAATTACTTTGTTTTCTTATGAAGGTAATGTGTAGTCATTATAGAACATTCGGCAAAAAGAAAAAAATAGAATATACTTTTTTTTTTTAAAAAAAGATGACCGGTAAGGGGATCTTAACCCTCGACTTGGTGTTGTCAGCACCACGCTCAGCCAGTGAGCAAACCGGCCATCCCTATATAGGATCCGAACCCGTGGCCTTGGTGTTATCAGCGGATCCGAACCTGTGGCCTTGGTGTTATCAACACCGCACTCTACCGAGTGAGCCACAGGCCGGCCCTAAAATAGAATATACTTTTAAGGAAAAATTGTTAACATTTTGGTGTATTTCTGTATTGCCTTTTTAAAAAATGTTGGGCATTATTTTCAGTGGTTTGCTATTATAAATTATACTGTAGTGTGCGTTGTGACATATAAATCTTTGTATGCATCCCTAATGGTTTCCTTGGTGAAAGAGGAACATGGATCAATATGTCAGCATTTTTAAGATGTTTTATAAACATTGCAAAATTGCTCTGTTTTGTACCAATTTCCACTCTCACTAGAATGCCCATTTTTCTGAATCCCAATCAACAGTGGTCATTTTAAAAAATATTTCTCAGGGGCCGGCCCGGTGGCGCACTGGATAAGTGCGCCGCTTGGGAAGTGCAGCGGCGCTCCCGCCCGAGGGGTCGGGTCCCACAAACAGACCGGG